ACTTTGCGCAGGCTTGAGAAAAGGTCTGGCAAGATGTCCAGAAGAAAACAATGAATGAGTAATTGACTTTGCGCAGGCTTGAGAAAAGGTCTGGCAAGATATCCAGAAGAAAAGAATGAACGAGTAATTGACTTTGCGTAGGCTTGAGAAAAGGCCTGGCAAGATGTCCAGAAGAAAAGAATGAATGAGTAATTGACTTGGCGCAGGCTTGAGAAAAGGCCTGACAATTGACGTTGCATGAGCCTGAGAAAAGGCGTGGCAAGGTGTCCAGCTGAGGAAAATATGTGTGAATGACTCTGCATGAGCTTAAGATGAGGCCTGGCAAGATGTCCAGGAGAGAAATGGATGAGTATTTGACCTAGCATGGGCTTGAGAGAAGGTCTGGCAGGATGTTCATAAAAGAAAGATATGTGAATTTGTTTTGCGTAGACCTAAGGAAAAGTCTAGCAAGGCGCCCAGAAAAGAGATACAGGTATAATGGACTTTGCATGAGTATGAGAGAGGTCTGGCAAGAGGCCAGAAGAAAGATGTGAATAAGAGGGACTGGGTAACGCACATTTTTAAGCCTGGATAGGAGAAAGGACGAATGAGGATGACGCACATAAGCTGGACAAAATGACATGGGAAAAATATATTGGAACTGGCTAAGCATGAGACTGAGGAAAGAATGACGGGTAAACATGGATTGCACAGGCCAAAAAGTGGATTATTTCTGTATGACCCTAAGAGTAATAGATGAGGCAAAACCAAAATGGTTTCTGCTCGAGAATGTTTTCTCAATGAAATGGGAAGATAAATTTGAGATTACGAAGCACTTAAGGGGAGCTGTGCCTGGGCTCTCTGATTCAAAGTGGGTATCACCACATCAAAGGCGACGGTTGTACTGGACGAACATTTCCCTTCCGGAGCAAATGCCTGACATAGAGTCGCATCCAAAAACTTGCCTACAATTTGTTATCAACAAAGCCAAGGCATAAAATGAGAAAACCAATTGTGTTATGACAACAAATTGTCACCCTGGGAATAAAGCAAGCATACCAGGAGTTAAGTGCATGAAGCGAGGAGAGCCTTGTCTGCTTCATGTTATTGAAATTGAAAGGATTATGGGTTGCCCTGCTGGGTATACAGAGTTGACTGAAGAGGAAGTTTGCATCCCTATTGAGGGAAAGATAAAGAGGCAGAGCTATGACGGAAATGAGCAACTTGGTCTAAGTTGTACAAACCTTCGACTCCCCCATACCTTCCTCCACCCCAAGGGGCGGAAGCTAAGGAAGACATTGAGAAAGGAATGGGAAAAGAACAGAACGGACCCTGGCAAACTAACCACCCATAACATCTCACCCTCCTCTCCCGTCTATCCCTCAAAAATCCACTAACGAGAGATTGGTGCGCGATGAGGACATCGTGAATAAGTGGGGGGAATGTGTCAGGACTGGTGGGTCCCGAATAACTTTCCATCACTCGAGAAATTGAATACGGACAATTTGTGCACAACAGAGAAATCTGGAGTGAGGAAGCATGAGAGAGAAAGGACAAAGGATTAGGCCGCAGAAGGGAGTGATGTCCTGAGGAGAGAACCACAGGAGGAAAGAACTAGCGACGACAAACAAGCAAGCGCAAGAGCGATGGCACATAGAACATAGCAGGAGGACGGGAGAGTCATCGGAATGCAATAAGACTAAGGCCAAAGGGTCCTTTGAACTAGCAATTGCAGCGCGACAACAATAAGGGAATGAGGAAGCCAAGAGATGGGCAGCCCAGAGGCCGCGGAAAGTCAGGAAATGAGGGGCCAACATGGAGGCCACCTACGGGAGCCTCGAAGCGGAGGCCCACGACCAAAGAGATCGGCACGCACAAGGTGCGAGGAAAGACTAAGGAGAGGGGTCGCTGTGGGGAAACAAGACGCCCAAGGGGCATGGGACACCTTGGGGAAAGGCACCCGGGGCCACATGGGACTAAGTAAAAATAATGGCATCCGAGGCGAAATGTGTCGGGGACCGCCGACGGGACTAAGTGTCGGGGACCACCGACGGGACTAAGTGTCGGGGACCGCCGATGGGACTAAGTG